TTTCCCCCCCCCCCCCCCCCGCCTTTACTAGCAAGGAAGCCCTTCAATTGGATGGGCAGCAGAGCCAGCCCAGGGCTCAGGAGAAACAATGACCAAAGAACAGACTGCAGCTTGTAAACCAAAACCTCCCCAGGGGCTGCTGCTAAAAGGAGATTAGAGAGTATTCCTACGCCAATTGGCATCTGGATTTCCCCCCACCCCCCATTGCAGCCACTAAATTTCTGGCCTGTCTATCAGCATGGTAGTGTAGTCGTAATGCATTTATTTGCTCCCTCCTTGGGCAGGCAGGGGGGAAGCATGGGCATGGAGAGCTGTACAGGGCACAGTAATACACTAATGCTGCAGGACCGATCAGAGCTGCACCTTTCATCATCACACCGATGAGAGGTCAAGGAGCCCCAGAGAGATGAAAGGGATAAAGCTAAGCATTGGGGAGTGCCTCTATCAGACCATGTGTGCCCCAGCCAAAATGTCACACAAGTTGGCAGGCTCCCTCCACTGACCCACCCTTGCTAACCTCTAGCCAGCTGGTGATGGTGCAGGGAGGGTTGTTTACAGTTTATTAAGACGTTTGAGATTACATGTTATGGCAGCCTCACGTGAGGTATATGGAAGCAGCCACTATTGTGAAGGGCTTGCTGGAAGAGCTGAATTCTGAGCTGACCATGGAAAGCCCTGGCCACAAGCGATTAACAAGCTAGGTGTCATTTTACACTTAGTTGCTGGGGACCAGGAATTGGGAGGGGACAGGGAAGAACCTCTGTGGTCTCTAGAACATGACTTTAAGTAGTTGTGGTTGGAGAGTCAGAGGCACAGCCTCCGAGTCTCACATGGCATGCAAGCACCGGAGATTTTTACCTTTGGCTGAAAAAGCCCATAGTACATTGATTTCTTGCCTGGGCAACATCTGTGAACTTTTTATGAGCATCTGCAATGTTCATGGTAAATTGGGAAGGAGGGGTGTGTTATTTACCTGTGTGTACAAGTCTGTACTGGCAGACCATATATATTCAAATGGACATAGGACATTTGTTAGCTGTGGCAACTGCACTACCATGGTTATTTAAACAGTATTGTTGGAAGTGTTTTACATTTGAGGGGAGCTTTATACGAATCTGTCAAAAGCAGATGCCAGAGGTGACGTACATGTCTGAAGGACTAGGGCAGGACAGGGCACATATATACCAGGCACAGTTTAAGGGTACCAAGGAATTACTATTCCGGGGCTCTCTGGCTGACCTAAATTCTGTCTGTTCCTTTGAAGAGACATTTTGGAAAGGGGAAAGATTTTAGTGACTGAGTATGCCACAGCAGCAAGCAGTTTGAAAAGAGCAAACCATCCAACCCTCCAACAGACAACTTGCTTGTGAAAAAAAGAGCATCTCCCCCCCCAAAATATTTATTTTTTACAATGTTTTTGAGATTACTATTTTTTAAGTTTTGGCAGGTGAGGCCTGGGCCACGTTCAGGTCATCATGCAGAACAGATGCAGAACACCCCAAAGCACCTCACAAACCACAACAGACAAGAGGTCCTCAGGGTGTATCAGCTCATGAATGAATGGGCCCAATATTCAGGTACCCACAGATACTGCTCTTGCCCTGACCCAGAAACCATCTCTCAGAAACTCCAGGAAGGGAAAAGAGCTGAATGGAGACATCAGTCGCTCTGAAAATGGACTCAGCACCCTCTTTCCTTGTATTTGCCCACCCTCAGCAGGCTGGCTGGGAGCCTTGCAGTTTGCATTTAGAAACCAATAGCCAGGATCTGCCAACTGAACTTACAGGTTTGGCAGACACAGAGTTTCAGTTGCAGGACTCCTGGATCACAGCTCTGAGGAACAAGTGTCTAAGTGTATCTCTGAGCATTTCTTCTCTCAGCAGCTTCCCTTCTTGGTGCATTTTCTTTCTCTAAAGAAAATTTCAGGGTTTCCTCCTACAGGGGAAACCTTTAATTCTTCAGGCCAGTGGGGAGGGCTGAGGTCCTAAGATAGCTAAAGCTAGAATAGAAAACATCGCCCCATTTCCATTCCCCCTTTCACCTGCTCTTTCTCATTCTCTCGCTTTCCCAGCTCAACCACCCAGCATTCAAATACACAGCAGTTCCTCCACCCTATCCTTCTCTTCCACACCAACTGTCCAGCGGTTTTGGAGAGTGTGGCCTTCGTGTCACCAAAGTAACTCCCAGAAGGAACATGACACTGCCAACAAGACCAAGAAATGTTCCAGAAGAGATCCCCAAGGGCTGCCAGACCCTAAGCCACAGGGTTTGGCACTCAGCCCTCAGCATGCATAGTCTCTGACCCCCAGTTCCTTTTGTGTTAGCCTGGGAGCAGGAGAGTGGGTGCTGACAGTTTCTCTCTTGGCTTTGGGCGGGCCAGGGTGCCTTTCAGCTGCACTTGCAGGATTTCACCACCATGTTGGAGAGCTGCTCCACTTTGGGGGTCCTCCCGACATAGTACAAGATAGTGAGTGGCTCCAGGTCCTGGGGGACACAGCAGGGCGAAGCGGATGCCTCAGGGTTCAGCGTGTTGTATAAGCCCAGCACCTGCAGAAACAAAGTAAATGTGGTGACAAAGTCAGGAATACATTTAAGTTGGTTGAGGACAGGAAGGGACTGCAAAGCCAACAGGTTTCTAGGTGTTTGGACTATGCTCATCAGAGGGTATTTCCCTGAGATGAGTAATACTCCTGTCACTTCCTGATCATGGCCTGCTTCTAAAGGGTCTCACCTGCCTCGGCCTGACTCTTAAAGACTTTTTTTTTTTAATTGTAGTAGCCTTGCTCTGTGGCTGATGCCTAAGGGTTGAAGGAATGCAAGTAGTTGTCTCCTTTCATCTCTAATTTGGTATGGTGGATAGCATCACAATTTTTGCTTTTAACAAGGCTGGGTGTAACCAGCCTGGGGCCATGTTGTCTTGGGTTCAATTAAAAAAACCAGAAGAAAAATCACCAGTGCTGATTAATTCAACCAACATCTCTAGATAGCACTGGATGGATGCCAATCCTCTCGAGTATCCACAATTCCCTCCCAGCTTTGAACTGTCTGATGCTTTCTCCCTCCACTCCATCCTCCAAGTCATTACACTATAACGCTGGAGCCAGGAGAGTGTCCTGTGGGACCCCACTGGATTCCTCCTCCCAGCTGGCCCCAGCCCACAGATGACTGTACACTTCAGCCATGTAACCGCTACAGAACAGTTGCCATGTTCCGCGCCAGAGGTGGCCGCTTCTCAGCGGTAAGCAACTTCTTGAGTTTTGGGGCCAAAACATGATCTCACCTGCACTACTGTTGTCTCATTAGTGCTTGTCTGGTATAAACAACAAGGTCTGGCACATTGTCTTTTAACTACTTTACAGTCTTTGGGGGTGAGAGGTGCTAAGGAAACATCCTGTTCTATCATCCAGATCCATGTAATCGCAGTCGTTCTGGTAGAAGCTCTCTGGGATACTGAGCACAGTACCCCTGGCTGTACCACAGGGGTACCACATGCTCTGGGGCTGCTCTACTCTGAACAGGCAGTAGGTTAAACAGACTGGTGAGAAATCTTTTCACCATGTTTTTCCTAGGTGGTGCTGGCAAGCTGTCAGCAGCTATATTGTTCTAAAGGTTTCTTGGGTCACTCAGCTGACCTTAACGCTTGATAGTTTTCTTTCTTGCTCAAGAAAAGAACATTAGGAACCATTCTAAAATCTCCTTTCTCTCACACTGATTCAGTCCAGTTATCTACTAGAGAGCTTCTCAGGACAGCCAGATGGTAAAGCTACATGCCCATTACCCTTTTAAAGCTGTTCATTCCCTTGCCTTGTCTTGCACTTAATGCCCAGCATCTGTTCACTCCTTCCTTCCCATAGATCGACTGTTCCCACTGATATTAGTCCTTGAGCTTCAGCAGGCCCTGTTGCTGTGCAGTCTCTCAAGCTGTCAAGAAAATGTTAGCATCTTTTCTGCAGTATCATCTTTACCTAGTTATCTATTCTTCAGCTGAATCTGCTTTTTTCAGTAACTTTTTTAGTGAAACCTGAAGCTAAGTTGCTAGTGAGCTGTTGCATTGTCTGGATTGCCACCTCTTCTCTTCTGTGGACAGCAGCACAGGATTTTCCTCTGGCTTTTCTTGCTTCAGCAATGGACTGCCTGCTCCTTAGTCTGTCTTCTCCCCTTGGTACTTCTCCCATGCCTGTGCTTTTCTATTGCTTTCATTTTCTTCCACTTTAGACAGTAGCTAAGCTCAGGTGGTATTCTTCCCAAAGACTGCCTAGTGTACTCATGTTAAACAGAGGTTATGCTTAAGTTACCTAAAGACATTTGCTTTCTGCCAGTTTTCACTCATGAATCTCACTGCCTAGTAAGTTCCTTCCTGCCATGGGTCAGGTGGGATTTATACAGCTGGAAAGGATGCCTGTGCAGAAAGGAGAGCTTACTGCATGGCTGTGTTCACTTCTGGGCATGGACATGGATTTCCCTTCACTTTTGGGCTACAGCTGCCCCTGTGGTATAGCAGACGGCAGCTGCGTGCCATGGCACAACAGTTTTGTGTGACAACCTGGCACAGAGCGTAGAAAAATCCTCTGTCCAGTGCAAACTGCAGGAGAAATTTAGGCAGAAGGTAATTACCAGAGTTGACGTTTGATGTGAACAATTCAGTTAATACTCTGGCCATTACCAATTAAGTACCCCAAAACCCATCAGTCCTGCTGTTTCACATCTTATCCAAGAGACAGCATCCTCCTCCTCCTCAACATTTGGCTGGAAGCAGGGACTCAGTATTGACTCCAAAGGAAGCACATTTTCCCAGCTGAACCACCTAGACTCTTTTCTGTAGTTTCCTTGGACAGTTTTTTACAAGTATTGATCTGAACTGCTTTTGCTGCTTTGAAGAGACTGGATATGATCAGACTTAGGGAGGAAGGGGGAGACACAGCCACAAGCCCTGGCAGGGTAATACACTGGATGTACCGTGCTGTGAGTGGTGTCTGCGCTGCGGAGGTACGGACAAGGGCCCGAACAAAAGTTAGCAAAGTAGCCCTTAGGCTCGTGGACCCATTTCCAGCCAAGGTCCTGTCGGAAGTCGATGTACAGAGGACGCACACAGCAGTTCTCCTCCAGGTTCCTGAAACACAGTATCAAAACACAGTGAATCTAAAGAGGGGCCTTATTATGCGAGTGGCGATGCAGCTTCCTGAGCAGGACTAGTACCAGCAGTGCGCAGTGGGACATGGTGTTTGCCTGCACCAAGTGCAGAGGAGCGGCAGAGGTGAGCCGTGGCAGGCAGGACTCCAAAGGAAGCACATTTTCCCAGCTGAACCACCTAGACTCTTTTCTGTAGTTTCCTTGGACAGTTTTTTACAAGTATTGATCTGAACTGCTTTTGCTGCTTTGAAGAGACTGGATATGATCAGACTTAGGGAGGAAGGGGGAGACACAGCCACAAGCCCTGGCAGGGTAATACACTGGATGTACCGTGCTGTGAGTGGTGTCTGCGCTGCGGAGGTACGGACAAGGGCCCGAACAAAAGTTAGCAAAGTAGCCCTTAGGCTCGTGGACCCATTTCCAGCCAAGGTCCTGTCGGAAGTCGATGTACAGAGGACGCACACAGCAGTTCTCCTCCAGGTTCCTGAAACACAGTATCAAAACACAGTGAATCTAAAGAGGGGCCTTATATGCGAGTGCGCGATGCAGCTTCCTGAGCAGGACTAGTACCAGCAGTGCGCAGTGGGACATGGTGTTTGCCTGCACCAAGTGCAGAGGAGCGGCAGAGGTGAGCCATGGCAGGCAGCTCAGCAGCCTGGCACTGGTCGTGCCTGCCGGCAGGCAGCTTGCCCACTGCCCCAAGGAGGCAGCACCCTGCTCACCCACAGCAGTACCTGGCTGTTCTCCGGCACCTGGAGCTAGCAGGGGGCTGCCACGGGTCCCTGCCCAGGCTGTGCTCCAGGAAGCTGCTTGGAAGTCTCCCTCTAGCCAGCGGCTCAGCCAGAAGCACACAGTGACTCTGCTGAGCTGGCAAGAGTCCCCTTCTTGGACACCACGAGGAGAAGCTGGCTGAGCTGTGTTTCTCATGTGGCCCCTGTGGCACCATGGTGACACACAACCCCCTTGGAGGGCTCTGCCTTTCCTGGTGGCATGGAGTCTCGCCAGGCTTGCCCACCTCAGGCATGGGACCTGGTCACTCCAAGCAGGATTCTCACTTACCGGAAACAGTAGTTGGTATCCAAGGCCCGTTTCTTTCTCTGGCCTCCCAATGCTTGGCTCTCCAGCCGATGTGGGGGTAACATCATCAAGATGAGGTGGGGATTATGCAAGTCTTTCTGCTTCTTCAGGCGCCCCAAGTCCCCACGGCCATAGTCATCCTCACTGTCAATGCCTTCAGAGAAAAACACGATCCACAAAGAAGTCAGTGTGGAAGTGGAGGATGCAACAAGACTTTTCAGTGCATTTAACACTCTCATGCCTGCCCCTGAACCAGGGTGAAAGGGATTCAGGCACCACATCCACTTACTGTGGGACTTCTTCCCTCACAGAGACCCATTTACTCCTGGTGAATCTGACTGCTGCAGGCCTGAAATAGAGGCTTACGGGCCACCTGTTTTACCATTTGCAAACTGCTGGTGGGGCCATTAATCCATCTCACTCACTCCTGGCTTCGGTCCCAGGACAGGCGGGAAGATGAATGGTTTAAAGAAGATGTCAGATCATTGGCACTCTGCAGAACAGCCTCAGAAATGGAGCCTGTGGGGGCCAGTGGCTGCAGCCCAGGGCTGCAAGCCAGGAGGTTCCTAGTTCTTAGGCCAGCCAAGCCACTGACTCTCTGGGCCACCTCACACAGGATGCCTGACTTCCTTGTGTTTCAGTCACCCTAACTGGAAAGCAGAGCCTCCATGGAAATCTGAGAAGGCATCAAGCTGAACTTCCCAGAGAGACATTGAAATACAGAATTATTCCTTTCTGCAGACACTCGTGCAAACCTACCCAGCCTGCTCTTCCTTTCTCCCATTTCTAACCTACGTACAAAGTGGATATACCCTTATAATCAATGTGCAAACCTAGATGCGTATGCTTTAAGACAAATGTTACGCAACATAAAATGCTCAAATATGCAAAGCAAGACCTTGTTTTTTCTTTAGATACTCCAGGCTTTCCTCTCCCCAACAGCCTCCCCTAACTCAGTTCTTTATCACCTTTGAACTTGATCTCCAAGACCTCGTGCAAATTCTCCAAGATGTCTCCATTGGGCTGAAAAGTATGGCAAGGACAGTGTATGCTAATTTCCAGGCCAAGGTTGGACTCTGCAAAGAAGGAGATGACTCTGTGAGAAACAGTATTCCTCAGCTAGGAGAGCTCCTGGTGCAGGAAGTTTCACTGAGGACATGTACTGTGGTAACTCCTAGACTGTGGGTTGGTCTCAAAGTCAGGGATGCTATCAGAGCTGGGGAACAGAAGCTGCCTTGGAAAGGAGAATGGGAAGCAGAATCTTGCGGCTGCACCTGTGTCAAAAGCCTTGCTCTTGCTAAATGGAGCTTCCTGGGCAGGTGAGAAGGGTGCTCCTGGTTGCGGTTTTTAGGCTATTCAGCATCCAAAAGCAGTTGTTGAGCTTCAAGAAGCTCCAGTGGAAAACAAGTATTTTGAAGAGCTGGCTTGCAGTGTCTGTTAAATCAGTTTTGCCATCCTCAGTACCTGTCCACTATCTGGCTTCTGGTTAGTGTCTGAAGGAGAGATCTGAAAATGAGGGAGTTGGATATGGACAAGTAATGTTACTGGAAGCATTTTTCTCAGCAGCTGCAACCTCCTGTTTTGTTGAACTGCTAGCAGTCTAAGTCATACAGACTTTCCAGAGGCAAACCTATTTTCATAATAACTTCCTGGACCAGTCGTGCTGTGTGGGCCTAAGGGAATTTAAGACTCTTATGAAAGCTCCTTTTTTATGTTCTGTCATGAATTAAAACATCTGGTTCCCCGGGGCATTGACAAGGTGCCTAGCACCTTTTTTCCTAAGCACTTTATACTCTGTGATGTCTTGTCAGCTAGTGTGCCTGCCCAGAGCTCGCTGCAGTTCCAGCCCTGAACTCCAGCCATCAGGACACAACTTAGATTGCTTGAAAAAGGTGGAGCCTACAAGCTCACAGCTTACCCTTCCAGGGAGCGGCTGCTTGCCAGTACCTGCATTCCAGTTTTCAGTGGCACCTAGCTTCTATCTGTGAGGCCAATCCAGCTGTGAGTCACAGTGCCTATGCTCCAGCTGTGAATGGGGTCAGTGTTCTTGCTGGGAGCTGCCCCTTAACTATCTGTTGGGCTGCCCAGTGGTGGCAGAGGTATGTTCTCTGTAGTGCTAAAGCCTCCATCTGTCTAGGTGTGTCAGCCTCTGGTATTTCCTCACCTTTATACCTGCCAAGCTGTAAACAGCTAAAGAAACCAGGATCCTTGCTGGTGTTTCCCTATTGGATTTGCTCTAGTCCATATGAAAATTAAACCAGAGCAATCCTCATTTGCTATATATTACAGATTATAGTTTAGACAAGCAGAGGGGACCCCTGCTTAGAATCGAAGAACCAAAAGAGTTTCCAGCATCTCTCAGTGAAAACAATTTCCTCCAGAGGATGAATCCTCATTCTGACTCAGCCCACCGAGCTACGCAGTGAGGACTCCAGGACAGAGCTAGGAATCTAGCAAACGTCATGCACTGAGGTAGCTCTCTGGGGGAAGGCTTGTTCTCAGACCGAAAGAAGCTGTTCTCTATGTGAGCCAAGCCCCTGCAGAAAGGGGAGCAGAGAGATACTCCTGTCAACATTGATCCACATTTCTATGGATGCCTTGACACCCAGTCCAACTAAGACCCCTACCTCTGTGCAGAAGCCACTCACGCACAGTCTCGGTGACATCGAAGGACAGCCACTCAGGGGAGCCCCGTGTCTGCACATTCCTGCCACTGAGGTAGCGCTGCTTTGCTATGTGCTCATCCGGCTGAAGGATCTGCGTCAGAAGGAGTGGTAGAGAGAATCAGCCAGTGCCACGCATAAGGAAGGGATAGCCTTGGGTCTTTTTTCTTCCACAGCTTGCTAAAAACTAATTCAGAAGGTTGGTCCCGGCAAGTGAGACACTAGGAATACCCTGGCACAGGTGAGAAGGACATGCTTCACAACCAACCTGAACTCCAGAGATCTACGCAATGCTTATTTCTGTGTCCTAAGCAGCCCACCTCTCTCAATTCATCCTTGTTTCAGGGCACATATCCAGAGGCAGAAGCACACAGCAATTGATCTAATGGGTGGTTTTGTTTCTGTATACACCTGTGGGATGTGGGTCTGGATTTCAGAGTAGAACCAGCAGTGGGCAATAGAGCATCTTGCCACAGGTCCCTTGCCCAGCAAGCCTATCGAGTCCTACACTGTGGCGTTTTCAGCTGTCCTACACTCTTCAACTTCTATCAAAACACAACAGAGCTGATCAGGTTTGGAGGCCTCTCCCCCTGGTATGACATCTCTTCCCGCTTCCAGACAAACAGCCACAGCCTGTGCAAGGTGTTCCTTCCTGCAGGACCCCAGGTTCACTCCACAGAGCACTGACTCTATGGAGAAGCTCTGGGATTGCCTCCTTGTCAGTTGTGTCACCTGGTGAACTGCTCTGACTTTTGAAGCTGAATTTCAGGAAGTCCTCATGAGCTAGCAGCCACAGGGCAATTTTAGCTGCACTCTTACTGCAAAGTGGGCAGACACCAGCCTGTGGGAATGTGCCGCCTGGATGCTAAACTGTATCATTAGCTGGGTGGTCCAGCCCAGCCTAAGACCACCTCCAACCTGAAACAGTTCTGCCAGGGGAGTCCATGGGTTCAAACCAAACTCCAGATAAGTACCTGAATTAATGGTGTCATGAATTGTGCCCCTGAGGAGCTGCTGCTGAAGGGAACACTGAAAGCAAGCATTATTTTTCCAGTAAATCAGTGACAAGACAGAGAGCTCCACCCATTGGATTAGCACCAACTGTACTGCGACAGTCAGAGGAACAAAACTGCCAAGGGACCTAGGCATGCAGATGTGACAGAAGGGTCAGGGCTGCTCCACTGGTGAGAGGGTCCCCTTCCAACCCCCTTCTCAGTGCAGCAAGAGCTGCAGTGGGCACCATGCCAGGGTGCCCAGAGCCGCCAGCCAATGTGAGTGGGGGAAGAACAGCACCACACTGTAAAAGGAAAGAAAGGTGACTGTATCATTGCATATGCTGGAAGAAGCCTGGGGTACAGCATGGGATTTCTTCTCTCTCTCTTCTGTGGCCCTGCACATATCAGTTGAGGCAACCATTAAGGAGTCAAGCTATTCTGGGCTCAGGCACAGGGGAAGGTGAGAAGGATACTCACCTGGAAGAGCTCAATGCGCTGCTCGCTGCGTTTGGAGCTTGGGTTGGGCACACGCAGCACCCGAAACTCGGCCCGGAACAAGTTGGTGCTGTTCTTCTCTGCCGAGGACACATTAAAGCGGAACACGTTGGAGGTGACACCTTTTGGACAAATGCCCAACTCATCTAGGAGAAAGAAAGATGGAAAGACTGAGAACCACAGGTCAGAGGGGCGGTATCTCAAATAAATATTGTTTGAGAAAGCTTTCTAGCAGAGGCCTGTCATTCAAACATCTTGCCACCTGTGAAGCATGGTTGTCTAGCTGAAGATAACACATGAGGAATTCACTCAAAATTGATCTACATTGCAACATTTTGCAAGATCTTCCCAATACTGCCACCGATATTTCAATGCTACAAGCCAGAGAATCAGTAGAGATCAACCACAGTATTTTTAATATTATCTAACTCTGCTCATCAAATGTTGCTAATGCTCATGAGTCTGCTGCATCCAAAACGACAACCTCAGCCAAGACAATGGGGCAACCTCATTTGCAGCTAGTGGGGCCCATTCCCAAGAGTGATGATGGTATGACTCGGCTCATGCTAGAGACATGAAGCCATATACGAGGTGATCGCATTGCCGTTGAATCTTAGTTTTACAAACCTTGACATTGTCTCCTAGAATGAAAGCCAGTCAAGTGTCCACAAAGCATGAGGCATGGAAGACTTTTTGGGGCAGTGACTATTCAGTGTGTACTGAAAGAACTGGGTTTTAAGATCAGTTCTCATTCATGACCTGGAGAAGGAATTAATGAATAGTACTAGCTACAGAGTTCTTCAAGGACACAGTAATAGGGCTGAGAGGCCTGTGGAGATCAGACACATGGGCAAGAAATAACACAGCGATTCTCTGCCTCGATGTGTGCCTGCTGAACAGAAAAATCCATTTCACTGATACCCCAAAAGAGAGTACGTAAAAGCTATGAGGTCCAAAACAATGTCCTCAAGAGAAAACAAGCCTCTCTTCATTGGGACCATTTTGGTCCCATGGAAAAGTCTTTGTAGTTGCTATTGTTCCTCTCCTATTGACCTCTGTTAGCCTTCGAGGCTCTAGCCTTCAAGGCTCTAGCATCATTAAGGCTTCCTGCAGACAAGACACAGCAGCTCCCGCTCTACGCCCACATGCAGGTTTGTTTGCAGCCCTATAGAGCCTCTCATATGACCTCTTGACTGTTGTCCAGTGCAACACAGGGCTCTTATGTCAGCTGATATTTAAGTTGGTTTTAAACAAAAAAAAGAAACAAAGAAACAAAGAACTGTCCCAGCCACAGTTCCAGCCTATGACAAACAGGCTAGAAGCCCTAGTTGAAGCAACCTTCAAGTTAGATTCCTGGAGTCAGCCCCCCTCTTCACACCACCACTGTCTCCCCAGGGAAACAGCTTCCGAAGATGAGCTAGGGTGAAATGGCGCCTGAGCACAGAGGTTCACCTCCCATGCCAAATTCTTCTTTGAGCAACACCGATGTACTTCCAGAGTCATCTCCATGAAGATGAAGGTCTTCCTCTTGTGCTACACCCAGATTCAGCAAGCAGGAGCCTGCCAGTTTACAAGGATGTGTTCTTAGGGTGCTGAAGTTTTACTCAATAAGCTAATGACCAGATGCTCACACTGGGCTTTAATTGGAGGAGGTTTTTGTCATTTGTACTACTGAATGGAACAGCTTTGCCATACAGGAAAGTCTCTGGCTGTATTGAAGAGATGGATGTTTGGCAATCCCAGAGACCAGACCCCACTGCAGCCATGAGCTGGTATGCTCAGCCCAACAACCCTGCAGTGCAAAGAGTACACCGAGCCACATGAGGACACTCACTGTGGGGACTCCACCACTGTGACCAGTTCTAGGCTTTATGCCACAGAAAAGCCAAGCTCTGATCTCATTAAATGCCCAAAGGCATCTTCCTGGCTGAAGTCTAACACTGATAACTGTTCTGTGTCTTAGACCTAGGCAGATACTGTGTTTTAATAACCCCTTAAGCTGTTTGCACTCCTAGCCCTATTAATAGTGCTGTTAACAGCCTGCCCTTCCATTTCAGACCTGACTGCCTGTCCGTGAGGGGTGTCCCAGTAATTGCCAGAAATGCCTTTCTAGATCAGACCAGTGGTCAGTCTAGCCCAGTATCTGTTTCCAACAGTAGTGCTTTATCTGACAATCTATTTAGAGACTGTGCATCTGGTCCTATAGCACAGTGCAGATGAGAGACAAAATAATTTATTATCATCTCCTTAAGATTTTTGGCTAAATTAGGCAGCCGTGCTGGTAAGAGATTACTGTATCTGCTGTATTTCGCCTGCTGTCCTCACATTGCCTTCTACCTACTTACTTCACCAGCAAGGTGCTGGTGTCTTGGGAGATGTTCCTAGTGGAAATAGTAATAGCTATCTTACCTAAGAAGAAGTTTCATGGTCCCTTCGTACCCTGGGAACAAGCCCTCTGTGATGGGGAGATGGAGCTGCATTCTGTGTTTCACTCTGAACACTGTGAGGTTGGAGCCTGCTTCTCATAGCAGGGTGTCCAGGGCACAGGTCTCACTCCCAGGAAGCTGACTGCTTTGGGGTAAAGTACTTTTTGCAACAGGTCACAGGCAAAGGAGGCAAGGTGATTTTTCAGGGAACTTGGTCCAGTCCCAGCTCAGGTGTGTTAATCACACTGGAATCCAGACGTGTCCACCTACCAGCACAGAACAAAGCCTGGAAGCAATATTCCTGCAAGCTGTTCCAGTCCACAACACTCAGTGGCTGTAACCAAGCCTGCAGACAGGGAATCTGTGACACTCTGTGCACCCTTGCCAGTCTAAGTCTGACACAAGAGGATGTATCCTCACGATCAGACCCTGCTATTACTGTGGAGCCCAGACAGCCCAGAGCTGTTGACCGCACAAACAATGAGACCAGTAGCCTCTTAGCGTGGACAATGTGATACAGGGAGCAGGTTCTTTTGGGAGCTTCCTTCTTCCTGCCACTGCTCTCAGCAAGGTGCAGGTTCTCCACGTGCCGCCAGCCCTACACAGCTGCTGTTTCTGGCAACCCCCAAGAAGGCTGATGGCTGTGCAGTTAGAGTTTGATGTCAAGGAAGGGCAGGCTGTCTGTGAGCAGGTATTGCCTCACTCCATCTTATACCACTGGTACTTCAAGGTGTTTCATGCCAAAGCTGCATAACTTTGGAGGAAAAAATTGATCCTTCTGGAACTCTGCAGGTGGCAGGTTTGGAGGGAAGAGATGCTTGGCCCCAGAGACCCATGGCTTTAATTGCCTTATCTCTCAAGCTGGCTTGGAAAATGGCATCTGTTTTTCCTCAGGAAGGTAAGCAAAGCCATTTGCAAGACCATTGCAGATGCACTCTGAGCTTGAATCTAACTAAGTCAGTGCTTAAGGGGGTCTGAACCCCCATGAGTTTTAGGAGATCCCTGAAGTGAATGGCTGGTCAAGAGCGAGTTACCCTCTGAAAGTCCGTTCCTTATAATTCAGGCAATGTGCCTGAGAGGCACAGCAGAAAGACCATTCCGTGAGTCACCAGACAACTCGGGGTAGGGATGGGGAACCTGGTCCTGAATATCCTTCCTTCCTAGAAGGATGGGGCTCTCCCTGCTGCTATTTTTGCTCCTCAGCTCTCCTCACTTTTGGGCCTTAAGTCTTTGAGAAGGATGAGCTCTCTGAGCCAACGAACTGCTTGACTAATAGTTTGGAGCTAGAACAGTTTGTGTGCGTGCGCACACATTTCAGACTTGTCTGTATCATCCTCACAGTTCCCTCAATGGAGCAGTCCTCCCCTTCCCCCCCCCCAGAGGAGACTGGCTTTGGCTCAGAGCGTGCTCTGAGATCACCACCTGGCACAGTGACAGAGTCATGGGAAAGTTGAACATCAGCCACTTCTGAAGACACAGGGCCAAATTCAGCCATGGTGTAAGCGATGAAACTCCCCAGGTTTCAGAAGGAGTGCGTCTCTTGACACCACAGCCTATCTGGAGCTAGTCTCTCCCAGTGTGACCCAATTCCAAAGTTCCCTCTTTCTCTGGGTGGTGGCATCTACACTGCCTACTCCCAGGAATTCAGTCTCAGCACTACTTGGTCTTTTGAACCCACTGCTCAGCACCTTGTCCCAGTGTCCTACAGGGGGACATGGGGACAGGTTCATTCACTTCCATGGGAATTTTCCCCAACCCATAGTCCCTCCTCACTGCTCCTTCTCATGCACCACATCTTCATTCCTCTTTCCCCTCTACTTTATCCAAATCCACTCCTCTGACTTCATTTCCCGCTGTTGTGCTTTACCAGTTTCCTTCCCCAAAACACACCGGTTCATAGTGTGGCTGTACTATTTTGCACAGACACTTGGTTTCCCCATATATTTTTAGAATTTCACAAACGACACTTCAGTAGGTCAAAAATGTTGAAATACGGGTAAGCTGCTATACCCTGTGCACTTTCTGTTCCTTGAGTCTTGGTGTCTCCCGAGCTAAGAGCTAATCATATAACCATATGGAGTGCAGTCTGCTAGAGATTAAGTGAAATTTGTTGCATTACCACATTGTAGCTCTTATTCCAGCTCATCATATGTCAAGATTAACATAAACCTGGCAGAGTAACTGCGTTCTGAGGCTGCCTGCACCAAGTCACAGCTCCTCCCCAGAACTGTTGGCATTCAAATTGTGTCCCCAAGACTGCACTACATCACAGGAGGACGCCCTGGATGGTGGTATGACTGCATGCCCACCAACATCCTCCAATCCTAAGGAATCCTAAGCACAAACCGAAAGGATTGCTTGTGCCTACATGTGCTCAGCATCTGCAATCTGCTTGGGGTTCATGTCTGCTCAGTCTCTGTCTTTGCATCTGCATCTGCTCAGCTTCTGCACCTGAATCTGTTTAGCGTCCGCATCTGGGTCTGCTCATCATCTGCTCCGCACCTGCTCAACATCTGTCATGTTTCCTCAATGCCTATGTTCCCTTGGGGGTCTCCTTCGCATCACTGTCTGCTTTGCACCTGCTCAGCATCCCTGTTATCTTCTACCCGCTCTCTGAACCCTCACACTACCCGAGTAACACCCTCGACAGTGTCCTCCCGGCAGCAGTCTGTCTCTTCAGCAAGTATCTCTCCGCCTCTACAGCCAGTGCGGGTGCTGCACAGACCAAACAGGTTGCCTGTATCTCTGCGGCAGGCGCTGGAGCTTCAGCAGGGAGGAGTCCATCTACCTGCTCGTGACCCAAACACGAGACCTGTGCCTTCTCCTAGCCCAGTGCGCAGCATTCACCCCGAGACCCAAGTTGCCTCCTCTCCTGCTGCCTTCCCACCTCACATCTTCCCCTCTCTCCTCCCCTCCCCGCCTTCCCCCAGATGTCAGGGCTCTAAACACGGACTTAGCTCGCTGCTCCCGGCTGGGGCCTGTGCCGATGCTGCTCCCAGACCCCGCAACC